GATGTAGTGAACATGAGAAGATCTATATCTACGCTATGCTATGTCTTCCCTTTCCGTCATTCCGTCCATCCAAACAGGTGGGTATCAAACAAAACACGCGCGCCGAAAACGCCACCATCATAACGCTCAATCGTAAAAATCATAAACAGTCGTGCTCGTCGACGTCGGTCGTCTCAGCAAAGCCTTGCCTCACTCGAACCAGCCCCAATGCCTGCGCACACTCCAATCGAACTTGGTCATGCCGACCAGATCATCTCCGTTGAGGTAATCCACGCCCATCTCGACAAGATCCCACCACACCCTGTTCCTCAGCGCAATGGGCCACTTGGGCGCGCCCCAATACCGGACTTTCAGCCCGCGCTCGTGGGCGCCCTTGATCTGGCCACGGATCAGATCCTTCTGGGCGGTTGTCATGTGGCCCCACCAGATGCGGCCGATGCTCTTCTTGAAGTTTGTCGACGCGTAGAAGCTGTTGGACGAGTCGAAGTGGCTGTCCGGCGAGGTGCCGACGGTGCCCTGGCCCGAGGTGCTGACGGATGGGGTTGGGGCGGTCGAGTTGGTGTCGTCGTATTGGGACTGGTCGAGCGAGTCCGAGGTGCCCGGGTCGACGTAGAGGCGGTCCAGCGGCGCGTCGAAGAAGATGTCGCGGTAAGTGCTGTTTGCGACGACCATGTCGAAGGGTGCGTTGCCGGTTGCGACGACGGTGATGGGACCTTCGATCGTGGAGGTGCCGTTGTAGTAGGTCAGGTAGCCCTTTTCGCGCAGGGCGGCGAGTTGCGCGGATACGTAAGGGAAGATTGCAGAGCCGTTGTTCTTGAAGTCGACGAGGAGGACGAGGGTTTGCTGGGGCGCGGTGTCGAAGACGCCGGACTTGTTGGCGTTGACGTCCACTGTGGAGAGGGAGGTGGTGTTGTCGTTCTTGTAGTCCAGCATCTTGGTCAGTGGGTCCACGTACATGGAGCGGAAAGTGCGGTTCTTAGTCAAAGCGTGGGTGCTGTGGCCGACAAAGAGGTCCTCATCAAACAGCCAGACGTCGGCTTCGACGCCGGTGCAGCCCCAACGGAGAGCGTCGTAGAGGGGCACGCGGCGCCAGTAGTCGTTGTGGGAGTGGCATGGAATCGGAGTTACATCCTTGGTGATGTCGAGAAGGTAGGCTGCTATGTCGGTGGAGGCCTGGTTTGGCTGGGACCAGTCCAGGGCAAAGGCTGCCGGGTCATCGTGGATGAGTGGCAGATATCCGAGGCCAACATTGACAATGTGCACGCAACCACTAACATTATCAGCATGATGTTGGTCCCGACTCACAGTGCAAAGCCACATGGCTGAGAATGCCACGGCCGCCACGCGGAAGTCTGCGGCAGAGGACGACTTACAAGAAGAAGACGATAAAGCCCACTATCCCCAAACACCCCCATGCGCCGTGCCTCTTCCTCCACACGTACTTCTTTGCACGCCTCCTCTTCTCGAAAGCTGGCAGTCTCCCATGTTCATAGTCGATTCTTGGCAGAGAAGGCCGCCTCCTCCGGACTGCCATCAAGCAACGGCCCCAGAAAGTGGGGTGTGAACCTAGTGACGCTTCGCTACTGGAATCCGAGATGTCGCCATCTTCCAGAGCCCGCTCTGTCACAGTAGAAAATTCCTTTCCAGCTACTGGGCTTTTTGCCCGAGAAATATCAAAATCAGATGTGAGGTGGTTGTGCAGGAGAGGCTGCGCGCTGCGCGTAGCCTCCCGCAGTTCGGAGATGTCGGAAGGCATTACGGTAGTAGATGGTGATCCCTGCAGCAGATCGGACCCTGACAGAACGCGCGAATGGGCAAACAACTCAGGCACAGATCAAGGTCGAAGGAAAATATTCTCCAGGTCGCTGCACATGGACGAGGGCCGGGCAGCTGTATAAGACGTGCGACCCAAATGCGCTCACCTGGCTGGTCGCACCCTAGGACACCTTCCGAAACGAAACTCGGTGCGGCGCCACAGTCTCTGGGGCACAGTCCAGACTGTCACGAAGTCAACCCCGGAGCTATACCAAACCGAGAAAGAGGTAGCGCTGAAGCACGAACGGTCCGTCGTCCGGAAATACTCGACAGGATCAAAAAGCGCGCAGCTGGGTTATAAATGGCGCCGAAGACGAGTGTTGCGCGTCCAGGTAACTTTGTGAAATCCGGTCGTGCCGCAGTCCCGCGGCGGTGGTAGTACGGCGAAGAAGAGTGTCCAGGAATTTGGAGCTTTATGTTGCAATCACAATTGAACGAAAAGCCGGGGTGAGAGGTCAAAGCATGCCGTGTGGCGCTTGTGGGCAGTCCGCTTGTTGCTCTGGCCCTCGTGGTGTGCGGCCCAGGATGTCGCAAAGGGCTACCTTGATGCACGTAGCGGTAGCAGACGGTCTGATTGGTGCAACGGTTCTCCTACTCTCATTGCCAAGGGTGAGTGGTAGAAGGCCGTCAGCCTCAAGCGTACAGCACGAGGGTGATTGTTAGCGGCTATTTGTCAGGGCGATGGCGGTCTGCTATGAAGAATGTGGGTAGCAATGCCGTCACGCAGGCAGATGATGGGTGATGGGCAACGCCGTCTCTAAGCAAGCAGCCAGCACCCGCTCGCGGAAACGTTGAGCGACTGCAAACGCATATTGTTTGGTTGTCACAAGCTTTCGGTTGAGCTCTTGGTTTCCTTGTGAGCAAGGCAAGCACGACATCAGGCCTCCTGTCGTCAAACGGCGCAGCCGATGTATCGACGGAGGCTGGATTCAGACTCGCAAACAACAGCAATGGCACAATCGGCGCAGTCATGTCATTCGGTGATGAGCCTCGCCCGCGCGATGCGGCTGCAATTTGTATTTCGGTGTGCTTGGCCTGCCGACGATGGGCAAGTTTCCGCATCTCCGCATGCTGCACTCGTTCCTGCTTTGTTGGTGGTCTAGATTCTGCAGAGAACAGGGTCCCAGTCCTCATACGCTTTTTGCGTGCCTGCTTAGAATAATCAAATACGACAAGGCACGATAGCTGCAAGCTGCACCCTCGCAATAGAAGGCCTGAGGCCAATCGCTGAATGAAATTCCCACAGATGCACAGTAGTACTGCATGGTGGTGACCTCTGATGGATAGGGAAGGTGGGGGAAGTGACACTGCCCATGACACTGACAGCTGTGTGTTGCCAGCCGGAGCTAGGGCCCCTCCCAATGCTTAACTCCACAAGCGCGTGAACCCTGCAGCAGAGGTGTGGAAGTTTTGCGACACGGCGAACCTCACCATCTGCGGTGTTGCAAACATCCACGACTCGCACCCGCAATCATGCCGCACAAACACAAGCGCAAGGCGGGCGATGCAGCAGAGTATGTTTCGAACACTCGTACATCTGCACGTCATTGTACTGACGCCGCCACAGCTACAATCTGCCGCCCACAACTTTCGCCGCGCCTCTGCCAGTCGGCAAAGGCAAGACAGCCAACACCAACGCAAAGGCCAAGAAGCGCAAGATAGCCCACATCGACGGCTACGGGCATGATGACACACCGAAAGCCTTCCAGCGGCTGATGGCCTTCTCGCAGTCCGGCGTCGGCGCCAACAAGAAGCGCTCGGCCCTCGACGACGGCCTTGTGCTGTCCAAGAAGCAGAAGGCTGCTGCGAAGCGCGCCGCCCAGCAAAGTGCTAAGCCCAACGCTGGCGATGACTACGAGACCAAGTCGACGGCTGTCAACAAAGTAAATGCGACCGCAGAGGCGAAACAGATCCCCAAGATTCAACCCGGCGAATCCATGGCCGAATACAGCGCCCGCGTGGATGCCGCGCTCCCGCTCGCCGGTATTGCCAAATCCACCAAGAAGATCGCTGGCGTGGCCGACCACCGTGTCACGAAACACGAAAAGCGCCTCAAGCGCCTGCAAGCTGGGTGGCGCGAGGAAGAGGCGCGACTGCGCGAGAAGGAGCAGGAGGAAGAGGAGCTTGCCGAGGAGGAGCGCGACGAGCAGGCGCTGATCTGGGAGGACAAGACAGAAGACCAAGTCCCTGCTGGGCTGCGCGCAAACGGCAAGAAGGCCAAGGCCGCGAAGCGGAAGAAGCTTGTTGGAGAGGTGGACAATCACAGCGAGGATGAGTGGGAGGCACTCAAGAAGAAGAGGGAGCAGAGGAAGGGCTTGCACGATGTTGCGCATGCGCCGCCCACTTTCACGAAGGTGCCGAGAGAGATCTTCAAGGTCAAGAACGGGGCAAAGGTCAACGTAAATAACATCCCGAATGCGGCGGGTAGTCTGAGGAAGCGTGAGGAGCTGGGTGAGGAGCGCAGGACTATCATCGACACGTACCGGGAGTTGATGGCTGCGAAGAAGGAGGAAGGGAGTGCCAAGGCAAACGCAAAGGGGAAAGCGTAGAGAGTGATACCCATAGTAGAGTCGAATTGATACAAGGTCGAACGAAGGTGCATCCAATCGGTGGTTCTATGCGGCTAGCGAGGCAGCGAACGCCTGGGACAACCTTTTCGTTTCTGCACGAATGCAAGATATCATGAAATACAGACAAAGCACAACCAATTTCATGTCAGTCTAATTGACGTTCAAAACCGAACACTCGCAACAACGAAGACGGGAGATATCTGGGCGCTGGAGGATCGAAGGACGTGTACTTATGTGAGCGGACGGACTGACAACCCGACTTCAACATCACGCAGTAAAATACACTGTAGACCTGCAGTATCTCGATAGATAGAAGTGCTCTTCAGGCAATCTTCGCAGGCCTCAGCTGCAATTAAAGACCATGTTACGGCCCACTTTTTCTGAAGTGTCGGAATCCACTTTGCAGGCTAACGACCACATACACCCACAAGCGAGGACCACAAAAGCAGCAGCACGGTCCTACAATCAAGAACCTGATCTGTGCTTATCCTCACTCAAATGTGAGCCGCCGAGTGCACTCTGGGCCCAAATTTTCATCCTACATATACTCCAATTACATCCACGTGACTATCAATTCACCACAACAACTCAGATCCCTCGGATTCGAGACAACCGGCCCTCTTGGCTTAGTGGTAAAGCGTATCACTAGTACTCCTCAGTACGATATGATAAGATCGCTAGTTCGATTCTGGCAGAGGGCAGTGCAGCCGGGAGTTTCCCGGTTGTAACAAACACTTTTCGGGCGTGTGGCTCAGTGGTAGAGCGCCCGCTTTGCATCTTCTGTGTGCTTCGGCATGTGGTTACTGATGAGTCTGCGGGAGGCCCAGGTTTCGATCACCTGCTCGTCCAATTTCTTTTGCTTCTTATGGGGCTTTTTTTTTGTTCTGGGGGTTGGGGGGTTGGTTGTCCTTGTGCTTTTCCTCACTATCTAGGTCTTTGTCTCGTTGTTTTTTGCCTGCTACATAATGTCTTCACGTCTCTGTATACTCTGATGTTTTTCGGTTCTTCATAGACAGTTGCTATGTGTATGTAAACTCAATGGACCTCAGATAACGACTGGAGAACCCATTAGAGATTCATTCAGCAGCAGTCAAATCAGTGAACACGACCAGCAAAATCCGTATTGTAGCAGTCTTCAACAGATCTCTCATAAGAACTCCGATCGAACGCTTCGATCCGTAATGATAATCATTGGAATTTCTGTTGTTCATTGCATCAAGCCCAGTGACTGCGGAAACTAGTAAGACCTGATTTCCCTGATGAAAGAAAAGTTCTTGATGGTTGCGTTGCAAAGACCTATTAGAAATGGAGGGCTTATAATACACCTGTCGATTGGTCATGTGATCGGGAACGGCGCTTGCTTTGTGACCGCTCCCAACGGCATCCGCGAATTTCCCCACCGCAATCCATGTCTTTGTATGCCCGACTAGGGATAGGAATCTTGAAACAATCTGCAAATATGACGGCTGACTTGTACTTAAATATGAGTGATATCCCAGTAAAATTCAGCAGCATTCTACTTTCCGCAAAGACTCGTAGTCCACAACATCGCCCATCATTCATACAATGACCTCTATCACAATCACTGATCGCCATGTTGGCCAGGTTGGATATGGCCTGATGAGTCCGTATATATGCAAGACGTATCGAAATTTTGTTAACGAAGATCAGGCTTGACCTTGCCGTGGGGCCCAATGGAATACGAAGAAGCCTGCAAATGCATGAAGAAGGCCTTAGAATGTGGAGCCAACCTATGGAATGGCGTACGCTACTAGCATCCAGAATCACATGAGGTCCCTACTAACCACTTTATGTAGGGTATACACTACGGTACACCTGACGCCAACTCCCTGCACCTTCTCCGCTACTACTTCCAGAAGTACCCTGAAGATGCGGAAAAGGTCGTTATCAGCATCAAAGGCGCACTGAGTCGTACTCGCGAGCCTACCGGTAGCCCCGAAGCCATCCGCGCTTCAGTCGAGGAGGCCTATGATATACTCAAAGGAGTCAAGTCGATCGATGTCTTCGAAATGGCACGAGTAGATCCAAATGTACCCGTCGAGACCTCCGTCAAGGCTCTAGCGGATTTGGTGGCAGAAGGCAAGATCGGTGGCATCGGCCTGAGTGAGGTCAGTGCCAGCACCATTCGCAGAGCCAATGCTGTGCATAAGATTGCTGCCGTAGAGATCGAGATGAGTCTTTTTACCCCGGATACTCTACGCAATGGTATCCTAGATACCTGTCGTGAGCGTAAGTTTACAAGACTCTGCGCCTTACGTTGATAGTTAGGCTGACTATCGAGAAGTCGACATTCCAGTCATAGCATATAGTCCTGTTGGCCGCGGGTTCCTCACTGGGAAATACCGCACACATGCCGATATACCGGCAAACGACTTCCGACACACGCTTGCTCGATTCAAGCCTGATGCTTTTGAGCAGAATGCTAAGATAGTACAGGCTATTGAAAGCTTGGCCCAGCGCAGAAGCCTGACTGCTGCTCAGGTAGCTATAGCTTGGGTCGCCCGACAAGGTGCTATTCCGATTCCTGGCTCGAGCAATGTTGAAAGGGTAGCAGCAAACAGCAGGGCTGTAGATCTGACAGACGAGGAAGTGCGCGAGCTGAACAACATCATCGGAACACTACCGGTTGTGGGTGAGAGATATGGAGGTGTGCACGAAAAGTATCTTAATGCATGAGCATCATCAAGAAGAAGAGGTTATTGTAAAGATTGCGTATTTTCAATGGGACAAGGAGGCGGTGATAACGGCTTTAAGCATGCGTGGTCAGGCATCCAACCAACCTATATCAGTCTGAAGGATTCACTAGGAATCTGCATCTCTGTCAGATACACCAGCAAATTTCCTTTCATGAAATTATCAGATGCGTGATGGACAGCCTTCCTGTGCGATCTGTGCAAAAGCCAAGATCAGATGTGTGCGTCTCCCAGGACAGGATGCCTGCGACAGATGTACCCGATTGCGGAAGCAATGCCACACCAAAGAACCTCCCGTGAGAAAGGGAAGAATTGCCAAACCCTCGTATGTCATGATTATGTCTGAGTATTAGGTTCTCTTGGGTGAACGATTGGATCACAGCTAAACGGTTTTGGGTCATCGCACGATACATTGCAATGTGGCTAATGCGTTATCAGGAACTCCGCCCAACTCCAAGTTCTAGAAAAGAAGATCGAGAGCCTTACTGAGGCACTGATGGCAAAATCGAATTACGAAGAAGAGCGCACCGAACTCGTTCATCCTACTCCGGCGGAGACTCCAATCGACCAAGCGGACGACACTGATTCAAGTACTTCCCCACAGCAAGCAACCCATGAGATCACTCTCGCCACTTCAGGAACGAAGGATCGTAAATTCTCGATCGAACGAGTCACACCATACTCTGCTCTGAGCTCGCATGAGGTGCAATACCTTCTTGACCGTTACGTTGCATTCATGGCATCCAACATGCCCTTTGTACTCCTCCCGTCAGGCCCGATAAAACCAACGGCATTCACCCAGTCGCCATTTCTTTTACAAGCAATCATTGTCGTTGCCCACTTCCACGACACGTCCGCCCAACAGACACTCGTCAGCGACCTCATCCAGCAGCTCACCACAGCCGTCTTCACAAAAGCCGAGAAATCCCTCGATCTCCTGCAAGCCCTCCTTGTCCTCTGCACCTGGTACAACCCGCATCTCTTCCAGACATCCAGCCACACAACCCTACTCCACCTCTGCATGGCACTCACCACCGATCTAGCAATTGACCGTGACCCAGCAGCGTGCGAGATGGCCCATATGGCCGCGGCTCTGAAGAGCTGCGGGATTCCCCAGCCAGAGAGAATTGTCACCGACGAGGAGCGCAGAGCTGTACTTGGCGTGTTCTGGATCGCTAGCACGATATTCACATCATTCAAGAAGACGGATTTTCCGACATGGACTCCGTGGCTGCAGGTCTGTCTTGATGAGTTGAAGGGCAAAGGGGAGACCGTGCTCGCCCGGCTTGTGGACAGTCAACGCGTTATGCACACTGCTCTGTTCCCATCAACAAACTGGATACCGGATACGCTCCAGGCTGAGCTCGGCGGCCTAGCGGATAGTGAGGCCCCCAACGATGATTCGACCGCAAACAAATTAGTCCAACTCCAACGCACCTGCGCGAGTGTCGCGAACTGGAATAATGCAGCTGCGGATACCTGTCTCGACGGACTGTGGACCTTGGTTCACGCTATCAAGTCCTACCTTGACATCTACGCGTCTCTTCCCGTACCGGCTTACCTCACCGTCCCGTTCAGCGTCTTCGCACAGTTCGCGTTCGTCTTCGTAGTTATGGTGCGCGTGACATCTATTCATATCGACGGGTTTGATGGCACGCTGTTGCGCGAGTACATTGATTTTGAGAAGGTAATGGGGGAGGCTACGGAGAGGTATGAGAAAGTGGAGAGATTGAGCGTGGATGGTGTAGTGATCAAGAATGAGGGGTTCAGGAAGTGGGCGGAGAAGACGAGGTGGGCGCAGGTGTACTATGGTATGAAAGCTGCACAGGATGCGGCGGAGCATACGGTGGAAGGAGAGTTGCACATCGATTATGATGGATCCAAGAAGATTGCTGGTGGAGAGTCTTTGATGGATGGAGATGCGCCGAGCAGTGCTGTTTGGGATGAGGCATGTGACGATCAAGGCTCTTTATTGGATATTAATGAACTGATCTGTTGATATTCGACGATAAGTTTACAAGGGAAGTTACTGCACTGTACATTCGAAGAATCATCAATGGCTGGAATAGGGGGGACCATGTGGATATCTCCGGAACCATCCAGCTCATGCTTCGATGAGATCTCCGTATATACATAGCATTAATTGAGGAATAAACGTTCCCTATGTGACAACATGATACACTTCGTCTGTTCATGACGCCATCACAGTCCAGCTGTCTTTCTCGGGCAAGCTTCCCAGCTAGCGTGAAGTCATTCTACAAACACAACCGCACGCATACAGATTTCTGGAACGTCACCAGTAAATAGCCCTGCATTGCGCCCTTTTCAATGAGAGGCCTGAATACCGTGTACTGTTCAAGTACTCCGCCAGCATCCGCCGATACAAAAGTGACGCACATTACAGCGTGTCTAGAGCAGCATGCCACTAAAATCTCACTGCAGTGTGTAGGCAGCACCCACGATAACCGAGATTCCACGATAGGCTTGACAACGTGCATGCACGAAACTGAAGCGCGATCGACACGCGGTCAGGCCCGCCGCCAGGCCCACTAGAATGCTTGTTGCTGATGCTTAATACTGCTGCCTCCGAGCCACTTAGCCATTGCCTTGCCTCCAGTTGACCTGCAACATCCTCTCAATCATAATGTCTACAACATCACTCCCCAAACACGACCTCGCAGGGAAACGCATCGTCGTCGCGGGTGGCGGTCTTGCAGGCCTAGCCTTCGCAATCGCTTTGGACCAATTCTGGCCAGATGGACATCCCAAGCCCGAAGTCGTGCTATACGAGCGATCCGCGAGGGAACTCGACCGAGAGCGCGAGGGGTACACAATGAGTATCAAAGCGGAGTCTGGACTGAAAGCACTGAAAGAGGTGGGTTTGCTGGAGAAAGCACTGTCGAACAGTACAACCGGACACAACGGCGTAGACAGCGTACCAACACTATGGAACAGCAACTGGCAGCCCATACTAGACCTCAGCGCGCGGAAGAACCCCACAAAAGCGAGCAACAACATCCCTCCCGCCGGTATCCGCCTCGTGCGTTACGTCCTGCGCGACATGCTCCTCAACGCCGTCCCCTCATCAACAAAAATCCACTGGAGCAAAGGCTGCTCAAAAGCCTCGCTCCTGGA